ACCCCGAAACCCAAATGGGAGGACCAAGTTTTGAATGAAGTTTTGCCTGTAGCACTTTCAAAATCTATAGGATATAAAAGCCCAGTCATCGGATCACAAAACAGTAAGTGTTCTTTCAGCTAAAAAAAAAACCCATTCTGTTAGGGATGCATGAGAATTGTTTTCGTTTTGCTGAAAGAACACTTACCCTTTTTGTGATCCGTGGACAGAGCTTTAAAACGGTGGTCAAAATTCCGTAACTTGTAAAGTAATGAGTGATTTGAATGATTCTTGTACTAAAAGAAAGCTCTTGAAAGTGCTACAGGCAAAACTTCATTCAAAAATTGGTCCTGCCATTTGGGTTTCGTTTTTTTTATTACTCACCCTGTAGGTAGTTGTTCTTTGAAAATTGTACAGATACTTATAGGTAAAGTAAAGCAGAGCATTCAACGCCAGCATGAAGTCAGCTCCAGCCTCGAATTATGCAATGTCAAACTACGGAAACTCCTTGAGCATGTTAGGACGTGTCTGAACCTCCTTATCCTTCCCTTCACGAAGCCTCCCAGTTATACAATACAGCTCCATGTCACTAGTGTCAGTGATCCATATAGGCCATGGGGATGGGGGAGGGGGCCGCTGGGGGAGGGGGATTACCCCACGCCCCCCCCCCCCCCCCATTGGATGTCTGTGTTCCTTGAATTGAAAAAAAAATCATACTGCTGTTGAAATGAAATGTTTCATTTGCTTTTAGTGCACTCTTGAAAAAAATAATGCAGTCAAGGTGAACCCCCCCCCACCCCGAAGTTTGACCCTATTATAGTTATCCGCTGCATGTAAATTGGCACTTCAAGAAAATGACGATATAGGGTAAGCAGCTAGCCACGGAAAGTGGTTCAGACTTGCACGATGAAGAATACAATTTGAACGCTCTCATTACCGTTACTTTGAAAACTGTTTGACAGGAAGGTTTTTTTTTGGGGGGGGGGGGGGTGAGTGGGGATTTGTTTAAAAAACAGATTGTCAAAAAGTGTATCATGTATATAACCGAGCCTCAGCAGCTCAGCTTTGTCTTAGCACTAAAGTCTGCTAGGTGATATTTTACAAGCCTAGAGGGCGAAGTTTCAGTTGTACAAGCTGAAGAAGTTACATGATAGCCAACGTGGTCTTAAGAAAGTAGGGTAATGTATCGTTGCACGGATGTCAAGATTCACTCTCAACTAATGTTGCGCCGAGGTCCGCCAGATAGAGTGTTGGCTTCATGGATGGTTCCTGTAGTTAGTTACCCAGAATTGAAACAGATCCTTTCCCTCTCCAGATCACCAACTGTGGTAATCCATTGTGACATTTTAAAACTATCAGCATGTGACTTATCGGGGGATACATCAGGACTCAGGTTTCGTCTTAAGTGTTAAGGAGGGAAGATAAGACTCAGTAACATCAATCTGCAGGTTGATGAAGATACAATGACACCTGTCTCCTCTCGTCGGGATTTATTTGTGTTTCGGTCCGGGGATGCTTTCCTCGAATAAATGACCCAAGGGGGGAGAGGGGTGTTACCAGATTGGTGTTTGGTGGAAATGTGACGCTGAATTGATTGAAAGAATATAGGAGCTAGCGGTGGGTAATGGATTTACGGCACGCTTAAGTAGACTTTGTCAGATGTAGAAATTGAAATATGCTCCCAAATGAGAACTATACGGACAAGATTGTCAGAAAACGAAGTAAGACATCTTCAATTTCGTTTAGGAAATAAAAGGGAGATAACATTGAAATGTGCTTTGGGAAATGACGTCTTTCTTTCGTCCCAGTCTCTTCTTCATTCTTGAAACTTTAATATTCATTGGAAGCTCGACGGTTCTAAGATCGAGTGACACATCGCTTGGGATTATACATCAATCAGATTTTATTTTTAGAAGGAGAATATCATATTCCTCATCTTTTCCATTTGCGAGAGCTGGAAGAAAATACCAGCGAAAATCACACCGAAAAACGCAATAAACCCAATCACCCCCAAAAAGCATTATGTTGTTTCTGCCCCAAGTACCGACGAATGTGTCGGCTAGATATTTCAGTCCTTACTCGAGTGATATTCCATAACGTTTTTCCATTCGCAGTTAATTTATTGTAATCAAATATTTATTACAATCGGGAAATGATCTGTCTGATATATGAGTGGGCGGGGCAAATATAAGGGTAAGGTGTAATATAGACACCATCTTCACGCGATAACGATGTCTCCCTCAGACAGTAATCTAATTTTTAAATGTCATGGGTGTGATTTTGAATTATTCATTGAGAACTAGAACTGCATATCGTCTTCAATCGTTTGCTTCCTCCCAACATGTTGGAGTCTGCATACATACAAAAGCAGCCCCGATCGTCCAACAACAAACATATACACAACACATGCATCACAACCGTTCCTAATTTAAATTTGGGTAAATTTTTATTTGAAATTTAGAAAGCCACTCCTTATTTTTTCCTGCTACTTTGTCGATATGCTTTTCCCACAAATGTTTAACTGCACTTCTACGAAAGTAGGGCATTTGGATGGATTCTCGTGATTTCACGTATTATCTCACGCATGAGTTAAGTCAGACGAGAGAATGTATTATATGTATTCAACACCCTGTGATTTGTTCTTTAGATGCAGTCTGAACTTTACCCATCATGCACGTGTACAGCGCATGCGCGGAGGTAGTAAAACGTTTGCCAAATTATACAGGAAGAACTTTCTTTATGAGAAATTGGAGTACAAAATAGAACGGAAGCTCATCATGTGATTTCTGCAAGTTGTTCTCTTGTAAAATATGCAGACGAAAAATCCCATCTCGCACGGTATTACTTTTTGTTCTAATTCCGTCCACAGAATCTCATTTTTCGGCCGAGATTTTGACAAAACAATGATTGGACTCTCATCTTCATGAATAAAGGCACGGGGTTGTCAAAACATGAATTTGCCTTAATTGAAATCAAACCAATCTGGGTTGAATATGTATCTGGATCAAGATCTATACATGTATACGCTGACAAGACTTATCATTGCTAGATCGGCAGAATAAACCATCTTCGTTCTGATAATTCATCTGGATCACTTTCTCTGGATCACTTTCTTTGGTAAAGCCAGCAGAAGGATCTTATTTCTTCATCGCAGGACGACTTAAAAAGCTGGAGACTCCGAAATGTTATCCCGCAAAGCGAATGACCGTTTCAGATGTACAACATGAGACAAAAATTGTGTATCTATCCCAAGGCCTAAGGGTTAGGACCATACAAAAATCCGGTCTGTACCTCTTGAGTGTTTTGAAGACGTAGGTTGTTTGGTGTCGTTTTAAAATTGAAGTGTCCATAACGGACCTTATGAAATCAAGGAAAGGGGTCTGGAAAGTTTACTCTGTTCAATCTTGTCAGATTTATTAATTTATTTAAGATAGTATTACACGCATATCCGACTTTCTATACACATGTACAATGTAATGCCTTTATAGAAAATAACCGTAAAGATTTCGAACGGTAAAGCTTTTGTTATGCAAATAATGACTGTTTACGAGTGCAATGGTAAGAATAATTTCATGAGGTGACAGATGGAATGTTCCATTCCAACCGTTACCAAATGAAATCATTTTTCCACCTGAAAAAAATCCTCGTCATCTGACTGGTCAGAGCCACCAAAAGTGTGACTGTGCAATGGAAGTTCTATTTACCTTGGAATGATCTTCTATTTTTGCGGTGCAGCCGCGTCGTGCGTTGGGACGAATAATAATATCCAACGACACGTGATCAACGACCAACCAATCAGATGAAGGGGATTTATTCAGGCATTGCATAAACGCAGATGAATAACTACTCATTTAAAATTGGGGGAAATGTTGCAAATTAAAGCTTTGTATTTAGTATAAACGAAACGTTTATAGTTTGTTTACTTCAATTATGCTCCATATTCGGAGTGCATTGTGGGCCACCTAAGTGTAAGAATATGGCGGTTATATGGAACAACCAACACAAAGCTCACGCCATAACCTAATCGTACTTTTGCTGTACAAGACAACTGGAGTATCTGCGATGTGATGTGACCACTGTAAGTGTAGAACAGTCAGGAATATGGATTTGATTCACATTTTGCCTAAAATTCTATGCCCTTGGGCAGGGTTCTCTGCTACAATTGCTTCTTCTCACCAAGGAGTTTTATGAATCTGAATAGTATATTGGCAAGGCACCCATCAGGAAACATCACAGTCCTGTTGGTCTAAATGGTTGAACCAATCCAAAAGTGACTAGGCCTATAAGTAAAAGCAGGATGTTAGGCACTTGGATTCTCCGATTTAAGCTTTTAAAAAGTCACTAGCGTTTCATCTTGATTAAATACCAGATGAAGCAAGAAAGTATATCACTTTTCATATTTACAAATAAATACAGACACTGTTGCCTGGATAACAATATTTTGAATCACACAAATAATTATTTGTACTTATTGGTTATAATACTTACAATTATTACAAACATTTATTGGGGGACTGAAAGACAACAGTCGAGCATTTTCCGTGTCGATAGGGATGTCCGCTCATGGCCACCGTACTAACCAATAGCGCTGATCATCTCTATATTCTCTTTCACAAAATGTTGTGAAGAAAAAGCAAAGGATTATGGGTAGCTAACCGCCATGAATGATGTTCGTGCGCATGCGCATTGCAAATTTTTTGACTCGGGGTCACGGGTTAGAATCTATCCAATGAGAACTAAGAGAGAAATGAGTCCTCAAATGCACATTCACATGGGGCGGGTACCAGCGAAATAGGGACGATACAATTTTGATTAATTACACTTAATGATGCAGACAGTTTACGTTGACAGACAGGAACCAGCCCTGGACAACATTTACAATAATTCACTGATGATTGTACACATTGGCGAAATTAGATCAGTTGATTGCCTCAATTTCAAGATAACGTCTACATTTGAAGTCAACCGTAAAATCTTGACCAAACCGTCTAGAACAACTCATACACATTTAAAAGTTACAGTTTCGTGGCTGAAAAAGACAAAAAGGTCAATTTTTATTCTGTATAATACTTTGTGGAATATTCCATTTTGATTCATTTGTAATACCACACCGTTGATGCACCATTTATACTCTTTATATACATTCAAATTATAGTAACATTAAAGAGCTGTATATACACTGCTTAAATACACTGACTAAATTTTTTTTATTACACCATTTTATGCTCGTAAATTAAACTTAAGTCAGGTGGAGCAAACACTGCTGTTTTGCGATGAGAGATTTTTTTTGTATCACTCCAAAATGCTTAATTCTGTTTCATTGAGATTGATGATAAGAGCAGCGACCGCGACTTCACTGAGTTTGCCCCACTCGGACGAACTTGTCTTTGTTTGATTTTAGTGGATCTGAAAAATAGCAAAATTGCAATGCCGTATTTTTTTTGTGCACTCAAAGTTCACTGTTTGTCTCCAATTGTTGGGTAAGAAACTGTAACCTAGTCGTAATAACATTCTGGTTTCAAAATCCTGCTCCAAAATGTGTGTGGCTCTTGCCTAGCTGCATCACACCAAGACATTCACATTATTGTCAATATATGCTGTGCTGCTGAACCGGGTTGAGCTTTGTGACAGGTATAAAAAGAAGAATATTCAGCTAGTAGTTGCCTCACAATGATAGTAGCAGTTATACTATTATGAAATGACAACTACAGTACTGGCTGGACAGAATGATATTCAATTAGTGAAAATATATATTTTTTTGATAGGGTGTTCTAGTACTACCATACTAATACCAACACTGCCACCATAAATCGGTTAGTATCTTAAAATATTCAGAAAGATTTTACTTTACAAATAACAAAGTATGTCACTTCTACTTATGACTATTTTTTTCAGCAGTTGCGTTGTATTAATTTTTTATACAAAACTAGCTGCTTGACATTATTATTTATATCAACTTTTTTTGCCGTAAACCAATTAAGAATGCAACAATAATAGTTAAAAAGTAACAAATGAGTGAAAACTCCAAAACAATAGGCTAATAAACAAAGATCAAGACAAATCCTTGACGAAATTCAAAAGTCCTTTCCAAAGAAATTGCAATGCCTAGACATTTTATTTCGTATACGATCGAGTTCATAGCACGAACTTTAATTTGGTTGGATCGAACACACGGTACAAAATAGTCACCCTTTTTGACTTGTAATCATAAATGACCTTCAATCCAGAGATATCCATCTACAGACTCTCATTCATAGTTTTCTTTTTCAAACAAAGCTTCGCCATTTTATTTCTAAAACAAAGATAATTCACTTGTGTTCATCTCCAGGTATAGTTTGTGCAATGAGATTAGTTGCTGTTTGGTATTGATTTAACCTTACAAGGAAATCGATGCAGACTTTAGCCTACTTTATGAGTGTACTTTTGGTAGTTGCTTTCACGCTTGAGTAAAATGTGCAAAGCAATGTTTGAGACCTGTGCTCACTCAGTCGAAACAATCGAAATACCATAAATAAAAAAATGTATTCTATATCTAACTTGAAAAAAAGACACCGGTTTAAAGAAGAAACGTAACATAAGTTAGTTCATTGCAATGAACGTGCGGCGATATATCTTAAGCAAATTAGTGCAACTGGGAAATGTTCTTCCTTAACCCAAAGCTTCAACTTCAAGTCGAAAGTCAGTTGAGGAATTTTCCCCCAAATAAACCTTCTTCGAGCTGCATGTAGCAACATGTAGGCCCCTATAGACAGAGTTGCGACATGAGGGTCTACTAATATGAGTCAAACGTGATGTTCCTGGTCCACTGTTCCAAATCCAATCAACATATAAAATGAACACATTGGAAATGGAATGTGGACATTTAATGGAGCCTTGAGGACCAATGTGGTTCTGAAAGTCAAGTTTCAAGGCTGTGTATCTAGCTATGCGAAACCAGTGTAGATGAACTTTGCTTCATCTGGAACTCCATACTGCTTCTTCGAGAGTTGGGAACCGCTGTCTTGAAGGCTGACAACAATGTCCAAGTGTGACCCAGCGGTTGATTCTTATCTCGACAACATTTACACCAACTGAAAAACATTCTCTTGAAATGACGTCGGTAGTTGGAGCTCATGACGTAAAGAATGATTGGGTTGAGACAAGACGCCAGAGAAACCAGTAGATACGTCATGTCCATAAAGGCCAGCATAAATGGTGTGATGAAGACCTCAGCATTGATCTCGAATTCAATCCAGATCGTGTAGATGTGGTAAGGAAGCCAACACACAGCAAAGCAGAACACGGCAACTAGGATGATGAACGCTAAGCGACGACGGGCTTTAGAGTGTGGGTCACGCCTACCATTACCGTCACGAACTTTGTGACCGATTCGTTCAATTCCACGACAGAGGGTGTGAGCCGTAAGCGCGTAGAACATTGTAATAAGCCCCAAAGGTAGGATGTAGAGACAGATAACCTGTAAGATGACGAAGACACGGTAAGGGATGGTTTCACGTGGCAGGTGGCAATATGGATCTAATCGACCCAGGACAAAGGCTGGGATGCTCGACAAAGATGACAAAGTCCAAATCATAATGACTGTAATCAGTGTGTATCGCGTTACGTTGATCTTACGACGAGCCATAGGGCGAGCGATAGCGTAATACCGATCGGCACTTAAGGCGGCTAAAGTAAGCACCGAAATTCCTTGAGAAATGTAAATAGAAGCCAGGGTGATCTTACAGTAAGCTTCACCAAAAGGCCACACCTTGAAAAAGTTAAAAGCAATCAGATCAGGTACGTTCATAACGAGGTAAACTAGATCGCCGATTGCCATGCTCATGATCTGTAGATTAGGAATGTTCCTCATGTCTCGAAATCCGATGATGATTAGGATTACGCTGCTGTTGCCGATAATCCCAACAATCTGGATTATCAGGTTGACGATGGCTAGTGCGGGCAAGCTATCATCTTGAACGTAGTTAACCGTTTGATTATCGGGCGGCATCTCTGAGCCGGTGACCTCCATAAATCTGTTTGGACGGGCAATCATACGGATAGCAGAAAATTGGAATCGCTGAAAAAACCCTCAATCGATCTGAATTGTGCTCGGTATACTAAAATCCACCTGCTTCTACTTCCTTTAGGAAACTAGAGCAGAGTGTCAAAGGCTAGCAGGTGAACGTTTCTATGGGTAAAGGTTTGATGAAAACGTCTAACAGAAGTCACAGATCGTTTCCAGAAAAAAACTTCTGGTGTACCATCAAGGACGCAGAAATTTCCAAACGTCAAAAGTATCGCTCCAAGTTTTGACACAAAAGAGTTGGTAAAAAGTTGACCCTTTTTTCAATGCGGTCGCGTCGATCGCTGCAAAAGATCACGCTTGGTTCAATTTCCTGGACGAGTGGCAAAATTGGAGCAATGACTACTGTCTGGAGATGTGTTTTCCTTGAACAACGACTCTACGAAATTAACTCACAGAGCGCCAAGATTCAAGCATTTATTCAGGTATCATTATCGTGTTTACTCCTCAGAGATGTAAGTCCAAGTAGCATGGGTTGGTGGGTGTAAGTTAACTTTGAACGTTGATTGTTCCAACGCGTATGGATATCTCTCTCGTGGCTGCACAGATCCGTGTAGTAATTAAGCCGGCCTTACGATAGCAAAGTCCCGGCGGGGTTCTCCGCGATTTGTCACGCTGTACTCTCAGCTAATTTACGTCGATCTCTCAGGGAGAAGCTCTCACTCCACCCTTAATTACAGTGACAGGACAGCAGGAACATTTCCCCTGGATCCAGGGATTGGTGCTCGCTGAATAGAGAGCTGTGCGACCTGGCGAATCTGCGGAGACCAACAACAGAGAATGACACGATAAATAAGTGTTACATTGCTTTAAGTGCGAGTCGCCTGACCTGGCTTCTTCGCGTGATTTAGAACCGAAGGGTCGCTAATGCTTTGGGTTCGGTTGTGTAAGATAGAAGCTTGTCGGTTTTGATTCAAAGTCCATTGTAGTATACGGACTTAATGAAGATGTATCACATTCTTATTGAATTCAACACTCGCCGCCAAAGGTCCATCATCTTTGTCGGTTTTGATTCAAAGTGCATTGTGGTACGGACTTAGTGAAGATGTATCACGGTTCATGCACAATAAGGGTAAGATTCCATAAGCATCGTGTTTCACTGAATGAAAACACTCGCCGCACCACAGATCCGTCATCTTCCTCTTACCCTAGAAACATTTGTCAATTAGCAGTTGAGGGATGAAGACATACAAAGTGTTGAAAGTCCCTAGCCTGAATCCACGACTGAACCAATAGAAAATGCTAACCAATCATGACAATTCGGTGTCAGTGTTTTCAGGGTACGCTATTGCATATTCCTGTGACACTGTACAAAATTGACTGTGTGGGCTTTACAACGACAATTCTGCTTCATTTCTCGCCAGGCGAAAAACAACCGTCAACCAGTCACAAGCAATACACATCCCATGACGCCTTGGCTGGTATCTGCGTTTTTACTCAGCAAATTATGCTCAGCTTATCTAAGTGCTTAGCAGCGGTGGCGTAACTACAGGGGGAGGGGCGGGGCACGCGGGGGGTGGGAGGGGGCAAGTTTCATCTAGCGGATGCCCGAGCCCCTGGTGTCCCCCTTTTGAAATCTTGAATTGAACACAAATATGTAATATTCCTTCACTGCCCCCTTGAAAAATGTGTGCACCCCAGGTGCCCCCCCCCCCCCAGGTTAACCCTAGTTGATCCCTGTGTTTATTCAAGTAGCCTACACTCTATGAAATAAAGTCCTGGTTTGGTCATCAGAGGTGTCTTGAAGACATCTTCGTACTATCGTGGGTAAGTTATTGCACTTTTCCCCTCCACTTTTTTCGGTTCGAGCTCATTAAGCACATTCGTCAAAGCTCATCCCCGGCGACATATCATATCATATTTCGTCGCTGAGGAATCGATCAGGCAGACATTAAGCAAACATGACTCCTGGCACGGCTTGGCGTCGAGGGTGCGGTAGTGGTGTTATGGTGATAGTTAGTTGTTGCTGTGCCATTTATCTCTCTTAGTTCAACTCTGTGACGTTCATACCAAAACGTCTGCTTTAATTCACTGCAAAAACTGTGGTGTTAATTTAACACCATTCGGTATCTATATAGGACAACACCAGTAAAATTTAACACCAGATGGTCATATATAGATACCAATGGTGTATAATTAACACCGCAGCTTTTGCAGTGTTCCCTCCAATTTTAAATTGGACAAAGCAAGGCTATTCAGAATGGCTATTCAATGGAAATATTTGCATGGTTAACACAATGGGCCGGATTAGCCTATTCATTGATGTATCAGGGTAATCATATACGATAGCACTGCCCGGTTCACAAGTAATATTCGGTGAGTCAGTCAGTCAGTCAGTCGGCGAATGAGTCAGGCAGGCACAAAGAGATTATAGGCTGATGACCCGCTTTGAAAGCAGCAAAAATGGCACCACTATGACATTGCAGAACACGAACATTTAGATAACCCGGAAAACTATGCTTAAACTCAAAATGTCGTATCATCCAGGAGTGATTTTATTTTTAGTATTCCTTTCAGGAATGTGTTACATTTGAGGAATATGTTACAATTATTGTACAACAAGCTGAGACAATTTATGACTGAACGATTTGCTCCTTGCTTAGTAGGACATTCTGAAGCAGTCGCGTGCATACGCAGAATGACGTTGACTGATCAATGTGAATGATTTGGTATCATGTTCACCTTACATTGATAAGGTGCCTATTGTAAGTAATGCAATGGCTGATGATATTCACGAAACTGGATGTCTTGAATATTTGGAAGTCACAGGTTATCATTAAAATTCGCTTTAAGCGAAAAACAAGAATTTTGATACTTTTGCAAACATCTATTTTAATAAAAGATGAGTCTCATGTTTTGAAGGTCAAAGATTTCAAATCAAAACCGTCATTAAAGCTTTTGACTTGAAAAGTAGTTCAAATGAATTAACAAAAGATATTGATTTAGCTGGTTCCTTGTTTGCACTAGGCCTAAGTGCCAAATAGTTTTTTTCTTCTTCACACGAAAAACTAAATACAATATCGGCGAGTATAACTGATATCAGCTTATCCCTCTATTCCCGAAGGAACGAAAATTCACTCTGTAGAGTGATTTTAACTCTAAATCGTCTTATCCCTATTGTAAATTTGAGGGGAAAGGCCAAAATTTGTGTCAATTTTGCAGGTAAAAGACCGTCATCCAAGACCGCTCAGATCAGAGTAAGAAAATGTCAACAAGTGCACCAACGATACTCCACCGGGCCATACGTTGTTTTCCTGCCATAGGGTCCAATTTCCTTCCGACGCCCAGTCTATCGACTGAGACGCTTTGGTTGCTCCGTCTCCGAGTTAAAAAAAAAATGGTCTCTATTAATTCCAATAGTAAAAGGCACAGTCATTTGACGTTTGAAATTACCAGTCCGCTTTTAGTTTTCGGGGTGTTTTTTTTGTGGTACAAATTAAGACATAACAGAGAACAAGAAAACGGAGTAAAGTGAGGCAGGTATCACAGAAACGAAGCCATGAAGTTGAAGGGTCCATGAAGTGAAACTTTTTGAGGAACAAATTTTGTGCAACTTTCTACTATGCACTTTTTTTTTTAAGGATGCATTTACAATGTTCCATGCTTTTCCTGACAAGGGCGGCGCTGTTGCAGTGATGTCATTTCAGGAAGCCACTGTTTAACAGGGAAGTTTTCTGTTCAAATCGTGAACCCCACATTCCTCATAGAAAACATGTGTGAAGTTTGCTCATTGGCTTACTGCCATGTACTGATACAACAACGAATCATCAAAGGAAAGAAAATTTACGACAGCGAAATATCCTACATTCTGGCAAGTTTTGGCGCTGAAATACCTGTAATATTGAGGTATCTCAGTGCTTGAAATGACATCACACTTTTGCTCATGAATATGGAAATTTACATTGGCATAACATTAAAAAAAAACCCACAAAAATAGCCTTGAAAATGGCAAAACGAAAATTGAAAATAGTTTGAAATGGGAAACAAACGTTTCAAGGATCGCATTTAAAAACTAGAAATTTGTTTGTGGACAAACACTGAGCTGTTTCGACCGTTTGCGCAGTAACTGCCATGAAGGGGTTTCATCCAAGTCGAGCGTATTAACATTAGTCTGTGTACTGTGGAGACGTACACAAGATATGCCAGAGTGGGAATAAAATTAGAAATCAACTGATTAAGAATCCCATGATAACGTCATCATGACGTAATAACAAGTGCTGTTTCGGTGTGTACACCGAAACAGCTAATATATGACATTTGCATGGGCTCATAAAGTGAGCAGGGACGTACTAGGAACACACTTGTAATAGATATAAAGGAAGTGGGACAGTAACAGTAAAAGAAACCCAGAACGGGAAAAGATGAAGGCAGAAAAGGCTGGGGAAAGCAGGGACTGCAGACTGAAGTAACATTAATTTGAATCGAAAACCAACCTTATAACTGTCGCCATTTATTTGGATAGCAACATTTGTATTTGACGGGTCGTTGCGATACAATCTGACCCTTAAGGAGCATTTGGGGCTATGAGGAGCTGAATATAAGCCGTAATGACAGCAAGGCAAAGCTCCGTCAGAAACCAATGATACAATAAGAAACTCTCAACCCAAGCGCCTCACATCATTCTCCGCTCTACGATGGGCTTCCCGGCCCGATTGGCAATACACGATCCCCTGCAGGCGTTAAGGTGTCACAAAAAATGTCAAACAACTTAGCGGCAGGATTTCCGGCAGTGTCGGGTGAAGTAACCGATCAGAAAAAATCGACACGTACTGTTTTCGAGTGCCAGTTACTGCCTAAATCGATGTATTATACGACCTAATTCCCGCCATTGCCAACTATCGACTTTTCTAACCTAATTCTTCCCCCAAGTCCTGAGCATTTTTTTCACGTATTGCAACGTGATGCGTATTACCTCCTTTAATGCACACATTATAATCAATCGTTAGGCAATGCGAAAGGATATTATCTGGAAGTCTGGGGCGAATAGGTACTTATGGCAACACGAGTGCCAGGCACAAGAAAGGAGAATTACCTGATCTAGTTTTTGGTCTAATAAAAAGGCTTTTATTGCCAAGTTGCCAGGGGTATGATCGCTTTTAAACATAGGCTACTGTATATAGGTCTAACGTACCTTTCTGAGTGAGTGGGAGTAAGATGCCCCGCCATCATGTTGGCTCAAGACATGAAGAAATGGTGTCATGGCGGTCAACTGTAACAAAAATGAACTTTGCTTTTTGTTCAGGACATAATATCCGAACTAGAACACGCCGAGGTCGAACTTTACCCACGCGTCACCACGAGGTCTGCGCTGGTTCCCTGCTGTATATTGCTATACCTGCGACTATTGGTAACCAGCTATGCCACTAGCCCCGCAGGCTCGCACCAGAAAGTCGACTAAAGTGGCGTATAGTCGACAAGCGTGTTTTCAAGACCAAGTACAAAAGCTAAATGATTTAAAACAGTTCGATGTTGTTCTCATTGCTAAAACCTGACGAATTTGAGTGAGGCATTGTCTACGCATCGTTTGAATTAAGTGCACTGATCTAATAAAGTTAATTATTAATTTCGTAGGCCTGTATGCATGAAAACGAAACGTACACAGGAGGTAACTTGTTTATTTACACAGACTTTGGTATGTGTATTGAAATATCGAAACGGGTGTTATCTCTATGAGACCTAAATAATAGAATGTAGGTGATTGTTATCGACAAGGGGGCCATGCATTCATCTATAGTTTTTATCAAGGCAGGCGCACGAA